GTTGAGTCAGGTTGCTATTTGACACTCATCATTAATGTGTGAGCTGCTCTCTGCCAAAATGGAAAGGCTCCCGGTTTTGCCCAGAGGCCCACTGTACGGTCGATGATAGACTTAACAACTGAAGGCTGTGGATGGATGGAATTGTAAATGCTTAACCTGTTCGCTTCGTAATGGGGTGTTGATGCATGTGTTTGTTTGGGTCTCGACTTCTTGCAACGTGTTCGGTACGTGTACTGGAGTAACGTAGCAACGCAGTAAACTCCTCCCTCCTCACACACACATACAGGCATGCAAACTGTAACACCTTCCCCCTTACTGAACATATACCGCCACGCTCTACTCTGGCCTCGCCATTCTCCGTTCCTCACCCCCCCCACCTGTGTATGAATTCCTTGCTCTCTGTTGTCTGTCTCCAACGCTGACATGTCTTCCTCAGAATGGCCTATCCCTGTCTCCTCTTTGACAGCCGTGCAATCATGAGAAAACATGCAGTAGCCTTATCACAGCTTAAATTAAGTAGCAGCGTATTCTTTTCCTACCAGGTCACAGTAGATATAGAGGGAACTGAAAGATGAAAATACTGTATCCACAGTATTTGTAGGCAGTGTTGGGGAGTAGTGAACTACATGTAGTTCAACTACATTTTGCAGTAGCTTGGGTGTAGTTTAACTAAATTCTAATCTAGGTAGTGTTTTCAGTAGTTAATAAATTTTTTGCCATGTAGCGTTGTAGCTAACTACTGGAACTACACGCACTGTTTTTTGCATAAGGAAAAGACAATGCAATCATTTCCTTTATTTTTCGGCATCAGACCTGCCTCATTCTCACTTGAAACATCGTTTTTTTGTGTGTGTTAACATATGACCCCAAAGTGATCTGTTCTTGCAATTTGTAGTATATGACATTTCAGATTTACACATGATCATTTATCACTAAGTAGTTAAGCTGTAGTGAACTGCTTTTTCAAAGTAACTTTAGTTAAGTAAACTATTATTTATTTTTTAAGTGTAGCTTTAGTGTAGCTTAACTTTTTTCAGTGTGAAGTAATTGGTAGCTTGGTAAACTATATTTTCAGAGTAGCTTCCCCAATACTGTGTGTAGGATCCATACTTCGAGTTTGACGGTAGTGTTCTGTGCTGACATGGTTAAAAATGGAAGGTACACTCACCCTAGTCTCTGAAAGCGTCATGCCACACACACACACACACACCAGATGTGCAGAGGTTTGGCTCCCCAGAACGGATCTGCTCATTTATAGTTTTTACTCACCTGTGTGTTTAAACATGCTGTTTTTAAGACACATAGAAAACAATCGGTCTATTGTCACCTTCCTTTTAAAAACTCCAATGAACAAGAGCACGGCTAACCCCATGTATTCCAGTAGTTGTGTGTGTGTGTAGCACCCTGCTCAGTGTTACTTTTGTAGACAGCGTGCGTGCATGAAATGTACTCTTAACCCATGTATTCCAGCAGTAGTGTGTGTATAGCAACCTTTAGTTCGAGCTTGTGTTGTTTCTGATTGCGTGGAGTGTCGTAAAGATAACCATGTGACATTTGGAGGCAGACTCAACATCATTAATTAACAACACATGTTTTCTTTCCCCCCTTCATTCTTAAAATGACAGTTCCCCTATTAGACCTCACTACCATAACGTTTGACCTACATTACATACATGAAGAGTGGCCAGATTACACTAAAGAGAGCCCATAGTATTACGTCAAAAGATTTTATAGTTGTTTACAAACATTTTGATCATAGATTTTCTTGCCGTTAGTCTGGCGTTGTTTTGTTTTAATCTGTTTTTTTCTTCCCACTATTGTAAAGCGGCTTTGGGTCATTGGAAAGCGCTATATAAGTCCCATGTATTATTATTATATTTTAAAAGCAATGGCTTTATTTAATGTGGTTATATTTTTGTTTCGTTCCTATGAGCCAAAAGTAATGGACTTTGTCCAAGAGTGATGTGTTTTAGTAGTTAAGAAAATCATGTTTCTCTTGTTTTAGTTGATTTGTCAGTGTATATCAACCCAGACTGTGTAGCAACCAATCTTTTCACACCTCTCATGTCTTAAGGTTGAGCGCAATGACTTGTTTGTTCTTCCTGTTGTTTGATGATGGATTGAAGGGATTCTTAGTAGGGCTGGTACAGTGTATGTTTATCTCACTGTGAAACTCTGTGGTTTTATGCACAGTCAAAAACAACACTACGATCCCAGAGTAGTAGTGCTGATATAGGATCATTCCCCCATCCTCGTCCCCGTCCATGCAATCTGTCATTGGAATCTAAAAGGCAAAACAGATCCTAAATCAGCACTCCTACTCTGAGACTCTTTATACATACGGCTCCTGATCATCTCACTGCATCTCTGTGATGTGGTTCACGTATGGTCAAAAACAACACTAGGATCTCTGATGCAACGGTCCGTGACCACTGGATGCGGGGGAGAGTGCTTTCCAAGTCAAATAAGCACCGGCCTGCAAAGGCACAGAGGGACTGTTTATGCTGTAACACTGGAGTGCTGGGATGTTGGGGACTTGGGCACCCATCCCCTTTCCTTTGTATGTTAATGTGTAATAGCTCCCGAGTCCCATCAAGCTTACACACACTTCTCTCTCACACACGCACACACACACATATATATATATACACACACACACCTCTGAAACCTCCATCCTTGCCCATATAATATATTAATGATGTATACTTTGTAAAAGAGCTGCCATGTTTCATCAAGCTCACATACACAGACACACACACACACACAAACAAACATGTACACACCTCTCTGCAGCACAACCTCAGCCCGGTGCTGCTGACCTGCTGTTCGCTAAGGACTTAATGAATGTACACACTCTAGGTCAGGTGGCTGGTGACCTCACAAACCACAGGCAAATCAGTCTGTCATTGTCAGTACTAGTCTCTGAGTTGGAGTGCAGTCGGTTTGCTACTCCAACATACATACATACATACACATACTCTCTCTCTCCTCCCTCCATCAGCCCCTTGATCAGACAGACACAATGCCATTAGAGGCACAAAGGCTTTTACTTATACCTAGAAGACAAAAACAGGTACCAAAACAGTGGCCTTGTGGTTAGAGTGCTTTACCCTGTTCATGTCAAACACTTCTTGAGACACTCATTGAATCACTCTCTTTTGGTCACTTTTTATGCACAATATTCTCAGATCCATTGAGACTGAAAAAATGTACTATTAAAAACCATTTGAAATGTATCAATGTGTATCTTAGAAAAAATGTTTTTAAAACTACAACAAATAAATGTTATCTACGCCAGAAGCTGTGTAGTTTAATATGGGTAAAGATATTATCCGTAGGAGAAGAAGGTTACAATGGTCAAAATTAATTCAGCACATGCGTAATTGGAATGCGGCCTACCTATTCAGAGTCAAAATGCCATGAAGGGGAAAAGGAGAAAGAACGAGATTTGTTCTCCATGGATTGCGAAACTGTAGAGCACCCGTCCGCAACCTTACAACGTTTTTCCTAGCCCAAATTCCAAGTGAAACAATTTTATATGAGACAGCCTACATATACCCTCTGCCAGGACATCACTACGCACGATGCACTATTGGAATTACGCACGCAACATGCGGTCCTTCTCGCCTCATGGCAAGCGAACATTAGGTTGGCAACAGAAAGTAGCAACACACAGAGAACGTTTTGAGAAGTTATTGTAAATACTGTAAATGTTCTGCCATTCTGACCCTCGAGTCGTAGCCAACAAATAGCCTAATATCACTGACACATTTTTACGATTTTATGACCATCAAAAATCTTTCATGTAGGCCTAAAATGTATCATATTATTGCATATATTTATAAAACACTTGGTTAATTTAGTACAAAGACGCGTGTGACTTTTAAAAGTGTGTAGAATATTATTTCACGCAGAAGGTATTTTTTGATAGTCCTCCTAACACATGAGTTTTTGAAAGGTCTTTGAAACAACTGCTACAATTCAGGAAAAATCGGGTAAAATCCAAACAAATTTCCTTTAATTAAGATACATTCAATTTCATTGTGCATAGATTGGAACTGTGCAGCTTTACTGTTTTATCATAATGTAGTTTCAAACATTACAGAGAAGACTAATGCCAAATGCTGTCAAAGTGTGTTGGGAACATCCCTGTAGGCCTATACTGTTTCCACCGTTGCCTTATGTAATAATTGCACTTCGTTCAACCATAGTACCTTTTAGTCAGTCTAATAAATAAACATTAGGATAACTTCTCCGAAGCTTTGGCATACATTTAAGTCGAGAAGTGAAAAAACTTTGTTCAATTTTAAGATTGTAACTTTTATCAAAATCATAAACAAAAAAGAAAAATACAAACATCCAAAACAATGGCAACTGATATCACCCCTGAATCACTTAAATGCAAATGTTGTTTTCCTCATGGTTGTGATTGTCATATAGTACTTTAGCTCCTGTCCCTAAGAACATTTGCGGAGAAGTGTTCAGAAATGGGTTTAAGAGGCAAGATCTTGATGAGGATGGCACAATGTCCTCCTTGGAAATATGAGAAACAGCCAGTCAGTCCTTCAATACACCTGTCCTGAAAGCTTTCTGCAGGGCCACAGACCAGTGTCATGTCTGTAGATAGTGTGGAAAGTGTGGCAAGGCTTCCCTTCCATGTCCTGTCTTTAACTGTCTGTTAACTTGAGTTCTCCACACCATGGCTTTGGTATGGAAGAGAATGTTGTGATGGATATGGGACCTAGGAAAGGTCACCATGTCTTGGTATGGAAGAGAATGTTGTGATGGATATGGGACTTAGGTGAGGTCACCGTGTCTTGGTATGGAAGAGAATGTTGTGATGGATATGGGACTTAGGTGAGGTCACCATGTCTTGGTATGGAAGAGAATGTTATGATGGATATGGGACCTAGGTGAGGTCACCATATAAATACAGAAGAGGTGATTGTTTGTAATGAGCTGACCCATGGTAAAGGAGGACTTGTTTCTCCATTTCTCCATCTGTCCTTCTCCTTCCTTCCTTCCTTCCTTCCTTCCTTCCTTCCTTCCTTCCTTCCTTCCTTCCTTCCTTCCTTCCTCCCTCCTCTTTTATCTCCATCCGCCCGTCCGTCTGTCCTGCTCCCCCTCTTCTTCCCTCTCCCTCTGTCTCTCCGTCCGACCGCCCGTCTGTCTGTGTTCTACAGTGCTGAGGCGGTGATGGCGTGGGCATTGGGGTGGATGGCGTCACGGTGGTGGGCTGTCAAACCCTTGAAGGCCAGCGGAGCGGCGACGTTGTCACAGCTGTGGTGAGAGCGAGCACTGCCACTGTGCGGCTGCCATGTGGGACCGGTCACATAGGCCGACGTGGTGGCGCTGTACCCCATGTAGGGCGACACTGGGGTGGGAGGGGGGTAGGCTGGGATGCTGGGCGCTGTGACATAACTGTTCACTGTGGGCAAGCCACTCTGCATCTGTCAGGGAGAGGAGAGAGAGAGGATGGTGAAACTATAGAAATAGAATGTCATTCCAGTTCTGTGGGTGAGACATAGGTAGAGCGGTAGGTATAGAGACAACTGTTCACTGTTCATGGGCAGGCCACTCGTTGTCTGTTAGAGGGGGAGAGAGAGGAGAGAAACACAAAGTTAGACAGAGGTAGAGAGAGAAGGTGAGACATGGGGAGGAGGAGAGGCCCAAGGAACATGTGGTATAGGACGGCAGTGAGGGAAGTGGAGTGGGACGAGGAAAAGGAGCGCGAGATGGAGAAGTGGGAGTAGGTTAGGGTTGAGTTAGAATGTGGGTGAAGGGTACAGAGGTGAGGTATACATCAGGTAAGATGGGAGAAGAGTGTGAATGGGGGCTGAATACAATAGGGGCTAGGAGAAGTTGAGGGTTTATTGAGCGGGAGGAGATGTGGAATGACAGAAATGATGAAGGGAATGGGGAAAGAAAAGTACAGTAACTTTTGGCACCATTACAAAACATAACTTGGAGAATGGACACACAATTGTTTCAACATTATGTGTCAGATATTATATGCATGGGTGGTCTATTCTATGACTAGTGAGAATAAAAATGGTTTCTGCAGAAGAGAGGAGATACTTCTCGTTCCTGTCTAATGGCCCAGGATTTCCTCAACTTAAACACCCATTGCCTATAGTTTTTTTCTTTCGACTGAAATCCACGGCCATGACGGGGCACGTGCAATACTCAAATTCTGATTGCTTTCAGTTTTTAAGGAGCCTATATATTTAAGTGATATTTTATATTTCACTAAGAAAGATGCTATTTGCCAACTTACATAATGGCATTTTAGTTTGGGGTTAATTTATCTAATTATTCTACCGAGTATTTCCATAGGCCTACTGCTTTTAATTTATGTTTAGTTTTTTCAAGATATTTGAATTTGTGAAAACTAAAAATTGTTCAGGAAGAAGCCCAGCCTAGCACATGTTGCCTTATATTAATTTGATACACACATCACACACATACAGGTTTATTGGAATAGGCTAAATTCAGTCGATCAAATCCTGATATTCTACACGACTTGCTTTTCGTATAGGCCTACTTTTTGTTTGTTTTCCTCCTTTATTTGTCAATATTAAATGTTAAGTCATACTTTTAAAAAACGACAGTCCTTGGCTTGCCTGTTGTGCGCGAGAGCTCTATTAACGTCTATCGATTATACAGTCAATTCTGGCAAACGGAAAAGACAGGCTTACCAATTAAATTGTAGTTTTTTATTTCGTTACATAATTCGCATTATTTTTGGTTATCGTTTCCATGCTGTGTATTTTATCTACCGCACAAACATCTAACGCACACGATGACTGATCTGAGAATAATCACGATATTGACGGTTACAAGCAATTCAAATTACAATTGAATGGGCAGCCACTGAATACACTATCATTGATATAAGAAAACGCTGCACAAGGCAGTCTTTAGCCTAATAAGAAATATGTTCTCATATTTATTAGAATCCAATATCTCGAGGTATTTAGGCTAGCCTACAGTAGCCTTGAAATGCATTAAATGCGGTAATAATAAATAATAGCCTAACTATAGGAAAAATGCTGTCGTATCGAAAATGTCAGTTAAAACCAGTGATTGGTCATTAGCATGAAACCTAATGGTCTATGTTATGTTATGTCTGATAAAAAAAAACAATTCCATAGACTCTAGAGTACCGGAGCGGAAGAAAGGCATTTAAAAATCACATCCGAGCCGCGGGCACTGTTTATGTATGTGCGTGTCATTACCTTAAATCGAAATGTAATGATCCAATTCTTCTTCCAGAGAGTGACATGATAGCCTACCCTCAGCCCCGTGGGCGCAGGACTGGGACTCCTCAAGTACAGTTAAGAGAACATCAGGCACTACATGTAGGCCTACTGTAGGCCTATTGAACCCAAAGATAAGATGTATTTATTTTATTTCAGGCTAGGCTACATCTAGATTATTATTATTGTATTTTTTATGCTTAAGTGTGTGTTGGATTTTTTATTTTTCATTCCAATCAGTAAATAGCTGCGCTGTTGCCGCTGCATAAACTACTACATGCGCTGTTCGCTGACACTATTTTAGCAAAGTCATTGAATTTGTAAATAATCAATATATAGCAATTGACCTTCAGCTTTTTGAAAGTCCCCACTCCTTACTTCAGTCGCCACAAGACTACTCGAGTTATATTATAAGGAGGGAGTGACTGTGGGTGTGTATAGGGTGAGGGCGGACGAGTTGTGTGTTCAAAGTGCGTGCAGACTGCAGTGCTTTGAAATATGGGCCTATAGGATAGCCTATGCACCATTTTGAAAGGATTTAGTACATCAGCAATTTATCATCTACAAATAAAGTTCAATTGACAATTATAGGCATATAGCAGCCTGTGGCACGCAGCGAAAGACATACTTTGAAATGGGGCGTTTGAATAGATTAAAACCTTACAAATTACAATCAAAATAGTTGAAAATTGATCGAATATTAAGTATTTGACTTTGACATACAAAATCACAAAATATAAAGTACGTAGGCCTAAATAAAGTAAAAATACACAATTGACCTATGGCTGATTATGCTATTTATAGGCCTACTGTTCATATAGGCATTAGGCAACGTTTTTTACTTTATATTTTTTATCCCAGCGAGTTATATCACCGGCGCCGCGTGTGTTATTCTGCATCATTTGTCTCCATTGATGCATCTAACGGTAGTCTATTGAATAAATTGAGGTTTCTATGCATAACTCGCATGTCTTTTAGTTTTCAATGCTGAGTGTTTAACACCTAGGCCTACTTAATTTATTCACATTTAGGCCTACAATATGAAAAGGCGTCAATACTCCGGAATTAGTTTTGGCTTATCTTACACAAGGAGTTAAATCGCGTGGCTCCGACGATATATCATACCAACTATGCATGCCTCCCCCTTTCACTTTCTCACACATACTATATCACTCATGCACGCTCTCGCTCACACTCCCTGTCCTCTCCCTCGTGCCTCCACCTCACACGTTGTTTGTACCGTTTGCAGTCTATATATTATTTTGCAACATAAAATGCACCATATTTTCTAACACAAGACTACACCGAGTCTAGTGAGACGTTTTTCATTAAACCTTTGGAATTAAACAAAGTTCATACACACTAAAATATAATATGTTTTTAGACTATAGGCCTATTAGTGGGATAAGCTTCGATGGAATGTACTCACAATTTCAGCAATGCCTTTCAGCTTCTATTAGATCAGCGTGCAAATTATTATTGGGGGTTAAGTGTTAAGATAGGCCTAAATATAGCCTAGTCTACTGGCCAAAATATATAAATGTGTCATTACGTTTTAATTATTTAAACTTAAGTCTTATTATTCATTTACATTAGGCCTAATATTAGTTATTTTAGCACATTGGCTAAGACAATATGGAAATGTAATGCAATTAGGAAATCTTAATGATCCTTGGAAGCATAAAATATACAACCATAACACTCAAATTTAAATTTAAACATGTATATAATCTTTCTCCAATAGCTAGACTTTTATTATTAACTTATGAGTCGGTCTGTCTCTCTGTTTCGTGCCTATGGATTTTCTCTTCTCGCAAAAAAAAATAACGGTAGAAACGTCTCCAATGACATAAATCAACCACCTGATTCCTCGGGCCATGTATGGGAAAATATGAGGACTTGAGAAGTCTATATAAAATGTGTTTTTTTCTTCGTTCATATCCCTAAAGTCTAAACCTTGTAAGACAAAGACAAGTGGCTGCAAAATACAAAGTTAAAAAATACACCGATTTTCAAAAAAAATTTAAAAAAATAATTACATTTCCCAAAACTATTATGCCTTTATGTCTATATCTACAAGGTTTGGCTATATCGACAAAAGCTGTTCTATTTAAATCTACATTTGGCGTGCTACGCTAATGACAGCCATTAAGCTTCTCAGTACATGGCAAGTTGTCAACATGCTATCACATGCAAGGAAATTGATGGGTCATGGGGTCCCAGGTATATAGTTAATTTGTCACAGAACTAAATCAAGCATATGCCGATGATGGTTACAAAACTACAACACGTAATAGCAATGTAATAGCACAGTAGGCCTAATGTAGCCAGAAGAACAACCCATAGCCTAAGCCCAAACACTGCTGTGTGGTGCCTTGTTTAGAGGCATACCGCCCACACCCAGCGGAGAGAGCGTGTGAATATGACTGAAAGCACCGAGAAAGCATACTCGGCTTGTATGCTGATTATACATTAAGTGTGGGACAAAAATTTAAGGTCATCATATTATACTACACCTTTGTTGAGATTAACACACATCAGGTTAGAGATGGGTGAGGGTGACATTTTATAGATCAAGGAGGTGTTTCCTTTTACCTGTGTGTATTTTGCTTCAGGTTCTATAGAATGCGGTGGTTTATCCAGCACGCCATTGACTAGTGGGGAGCTTGCTGACGGCGGAAAATGTGTCCTGTTTATAACGCTCCATTCTTCTAGTTTGGCACTGGGAAAGGACGAACTGTCACTAACTGCATGGGGCAAAACAGACAGAGACAGAGGAGAGGGAAGTCAGAGGAGATGAACCGAAGAGAGTTCACGCCACCACTCCCATCTACCATTCTAGGCATTCATATCACCTCACCCCCTACACCTTTTTAGCAAAACCCCCAACAAAAAGTTATCCTGCAAAGACACGAAAAATACTTGAAATAGCAACGATCATCATTTGCGATTTTATGCATGGGCATTCCTATACTTAAAAAGCTTTTCTGCATCTCAAATATGAATTAAGCCTAGGCCTACTTATTTTGTCCAGAGGGCGCCTAGTAATTTATCTGTTTACATGGTCGGATCTGAAATAATACCCCAGAACCCGTGTGTGTGTGTGTGTGTGTGTGTGTGTGTGTGTGTGTGTGTGTCTTTGCCCTACCCTTGGCCTACTGATCAAACCGGGACAGCTCATTGCTAAAAGGAATGCAAGATGATTCTTCCGTGTAATGGTCAGTAACATTTAACCAAACCCATCTTTCTGTGGGGACAAATTAGATGTACTCTAACCGTTTCCCCTTTGTACATGATGGATATTATATTATACACGGTTCCTGACATTTAGAATTCGAAAAGCAAGCCCACCAGTGTTGTAACTTGAGAAGACCATTGAGTCGATTATTTTTTTCCTCAACCCCTTTTCTTTCTTTCAACAAAGCAGGATTCACTTGGAGTTGAGTATTTTGTGCATAGACGTGTTAAACTATTTTTGTAGGTCTAAAATGTTTGGGTCTCTTGCTATTTCCTAAATAATCCTTCACTGACATAAAGCTGTTTTAGGTTAATTCAAGGCAGGAATATACATGGTACTTTATTTTCCTTTCTTGATGGCACGGTAGGCCTGACCTATAAAATAGTGCAGTGCAATGCGAAAGGTGTGTGTGTGAGAGAGAGAGAGTGCCATTTGATGACCAACGCCTTTCGAAATATCGCCATAATTGAAATGCAAATATGATGATTTACGCATCTTTATGCATAGGCCTGTAGTTCTAGGCATGAGGCCGATACTCGCCATATGCGTTTTAGTGATATTTTTCAACGCTCTTATTCTTAGAATAGGTCTACTGTATTCATCCACTGTTGTAGTGTAAACCCAATAGCAGTTCTATACCATAGTAAGGTATTTTTTTTTATGAAAACCAGAGTCTCGAGGCTGGCGAAGTGATTGTGGCGCTAAAAGGCCTCACGTCATTCAGTGTACATTATACTTATTTCGGCTTTCAAAACCTGCCGCAAACATCTGCTAATAATTTGGAAATGCATAAATTGTTTATAAAGGCATCCTTTGAGAACACATTCCTCCCCGGGATTTCTTGTTCGGCTTGAAGATCTGCGCTGCATTTGAGGAGCGAAGCCTTGTTGTTTAGATTGTCTGAGTTAAGTTAATACATGGAATGGCCGAGGCCTCATGGATCTAATGAGGACTATACAAGCACTAAGGAGAAGGGCATGTTTATATCCACAAGGCGGTGAGGCCTGAGGCCGTTCTAACTTCTGACAGAAGCACGGTTATGACAAGCTCATAGGTGGTCGACTGACATCTAACACTCTCTTTGCTAACACAAGAAACGTTGTCACTAAAAATTGTATTCACAACAACTGTAATGTATCATGACTGATGGAGGTCAGATTTGCTTTAGAATGTTTCCAAAACAGACTTGTATTTGTGGTAGCACACTAGTGAAAACGAACTGTCCAAACATGACTGTAAGGAACAAAAACAAGTTCTCTAAACGTGGATAGGGCCTTTAGGGAACAACACAGGTCTAGTAGCCTAGTTCAATGTAGCCCCGTGTAGCCTATTGGATCAGCCTGGTGAAAGGATGTGAAACTGCATTTCAGGGGAGGGTATTTTGAAGCAAGGTATTCAAGAACAAAATGTCTGGCTGTAAGACATGGCATGGCAAAGCTTTGAACACCTCATTTTGATTTGAGTTCATCTCCTCGTGCACCGCTGCGCCTTCCCTTCGTTATCCCACTAATATTCCACATCCGCCCCTTAATTATTAGTGCAAGCCTTCCTTTAACCATCTGTTTTAATGCAACCTTTGAACTAGGAACTAAACGTTACTCATGTATGCACTCACCAATACTGGCAAAAGAACACATAATTAACTTAGCCAATTTATTTTTGCATTTCGTTCCAGAATAGTCACTCTTTTATCTGTTATTAGTAAGTAATATAGTGCATATACAGACCGGTATGTGCATTGGTCATATTTCTTTAAACTGCATAACTCCAAATTAATAAAGTTACACATCTTGCCACTATGCCTTCTACACACGAACACACACACACAGAGACCCTGACACATGCGTTTTCCTATTAATTTGAACCATTTACTAAAGCAATTGGTTTGCCCGTGTACCAAAGTAAAAATCATGCTTACTTTGTTGCTCTGTTATCGACCGAATCCCCAGAATATCTGTTACCGAGTGGGAGGAGGGCCATATCCTGTGCATAGCCATGTGTCCGGGTAGGGTAGGCATGCCCGGGGGAGTTGGTACTTTGGTCCCAGAGGCTCCGATGGGGGTCGGATAGGAGTATATGTGGTTGTATGGTAGCGTTGGTTGTGGTGGTGGGTGAGACGACTGCTTGCTGGACTCATACTGACTCTGCTGGGACAGATTCCCAATCTTGTTGCGGAGGATCCTACTGATGGAGCTCACAGATGGTAGATTGAACTTGTCACAAACTCCGTCAGCCAGTAGCCTGTCCCGGATCTCCCAAGCGAAGATACCCGGGTCCCTCTGCTTGTATGTCCGTATGTGCTTGACTACTGTAGGCGTGGTGACCCGTGGTTTGCTGCCCCCGATCGCTCCCGGGAGTATAGAGCCGGTCTCGTTGTACCGGGCCAGTATCTTGCTGACGCAGCCGTGGGAGACCCGGAGCTGTCTGCTGATGTCGCAAGGCCTGATGCCCAGCTGGGCGAGCTCTACAATCCGCAGCCGGATTGCGTTGGGTAGCGGTCTGCCGTTGACAAAAACACCGCCGAGCTGGTTCACCTCTCCAAAGGCTGGCTCTGGTGTCATGGAAACATATACAGAGGCAACACAATGAAACACAAATCTTAAATTAGACGACTTGTAGCCATAGTAGCCTGCAATCACAACAAGGCCCTTTAGGACTAGTGTTGTTAATCATGCCTCCCCTTCCTGAGTCCTTCGTCGACATACTGCGGTCTGCAACGTCGTTTTCAACCCGTTTAGGACGAATTAAATGCTTATTTACAGCATATGGAATTACATGTATTGGGATATATATAGAATTTATAATGAACTCAAAACAGATGCGTAAAAATCAAATCAGTAAGCGTGTGATAAAAAATAAAAACATGTCCCACCATTAGCCTAACCCCTGCAAATAAAAACCCCTCACTTTTTCAGTTTGTGCATAACATACTGCTACATTGTTATACCGTTGTATTTTAATTTCAATATATATTTGCAGTAAAACATGTTTTACGCGTAGCTATGCTATAGATTTACTAATTGGCTACTAATACTGGTCACTGGAGAAATCCCATTATAAAAACCAACTGAGGCTCAAAACTGTTCCATACAATCGCCATACAAGCCATAGGCCTACAATCATCATTGATTCATTAGAATGTAGGTATAATTCGTTCCTTGAAAGAGGTAGGAATATCCGGGTCGAGTGCCTGTTATAGACTAACTCCATCATCGGCCACACAATATTTCCATATAAACTTACCCATTGCGTTTAGTCCACAAATTATTATTGGGATCTCGGAGTTACGCCTTCCGTCCAGTTCCGAGTCCAGTTTCGCTGGTGTCTGGAAACCTGTCTAGGGTAGCACAAATCCTCGCTCTCCTCCGGCCACCGGCACTGCATTAACCGAACTAACGATAGTAGCGAGAAGGACAAATCCGCGATGTGTTTCCTGATGGCAGCGGAGACAGGCTTACATTTCAATCCAGACAAATCATGGGCCGGACTTCCAAAAAAAGTATTCTCCGCGAGGCTAGGTCCACCAATGGAAGTTTGAGTTTATAGAGAGAAACTTTCCTATTGGTCTGAAAGTTTGTGCTCGTGCAGCAAGGCAACCCCCTCTCTTCCGGAACTACAGTCAGAGTTAACCTACCACCATGAATTGCAATTATGAATTGCACTACCATGGAATGGTAAATTACATATAAGTAAGTAATATTATATTAATATTGTGATTATGAATCATAACAATGAACTACGCTACAGGATACATCACCAATGCAATAATCCCCAATATAATAATAGGCAGTGGCACAAGTGTTTGGATTTTGTTTGCCTATATTGTCAGTGAGGAATGAATGTGGTATGAAAGTGAAATTGGTAGCCTACATATTGATATTTACATTTTAGTCATTTAGCAGACGCTCTTATCCAGAGCGACTTACAGTTAGTGAGTGCATACATTTTTTCATACTGGTCCCCCGTGGAAAACGAACCCACAACCCTGGCGTTGCAAGCGCCATGCTCTACCAACTGAGGTACACGGGACTATTCCCTCAGTTCAAATGGATAGCCTAACGTGTGTGGCTGTCTTAATTCACCAACCAAATAAATAGTAATAGTTGCACATCATGAAATGGACTCCAAAGCAAGGCCAACTAATCGTTTGATTTGATATGTATAGGCATTGACTTATAAATACACAAACAAAAACAAATAGGTGTATATGGATGGTGAGCAGAAGCCTACAGAACACATCTGAAGTTGCTGTCTGAGTTGGGTCAGAGTTGTGTCTTACTATTACTTATTCCATATAGGCTACTAACACACTTTTATTTAAATGTTGTTGTGTATAATCCTTATAATCCTTAATATTTCTAAAATCGAGATACAAAATAAAATGATATTTCGACATATAAGCCTAGGTTCTATACTGACACTCAACTGAGTGTTTAAAAAGTTATAATGCTCCATCTCAGAAAACCTGGCCTTCATAAACTAGGTTACATGAGAACGGACTGAATAACTTGAATAAATGTTCGATTTGTATATTCGACTAAATTAATTTATACAAATAAGCAGTTGAGTAACTTCTAATTGCATATTTCAAGAACATTCTCAGTTATTACGAAATATTGTATTTCAAGGAAGTGGATATGAAACAATAAGGATACGAATGTTTGCTGTTATTGCATGTTTATTTATTCAATTTATAGCCTACCCTATATACCATGAATGCGCTGACTACCCCTGCACCTATATTTCACCCATCTGACAGGTAATACAGGACGCCTTGCACACGCAGGTAATCGGACGCTTCGTTTCCTGTTTACATGAGTTTTCTCTTTCTCTTGTTGCTAAGGGTCACTTCACAACAGTAAGCTTCGTTTGCTCCGCATCTTAGAAATAGATTTCAGTAGATCAACACTAGCCTTTATATAGGCTAGACTCTAACCATCTTCTTACTGTCCGTGTCTTCCAGGGCCCTCATCTGTTATAGCAGCGAGAGATTCCAGATTACTGGTCGGTGAACTCTAAAGTCTGTCTAGCTCGTTTTCCAGCTGCTCAATGGGTGTTCCTGATGTATTTGTGCGGGCATGGCCGATTCCCCTGTACCTCGCTCCCTCATGGCAGTCACTAATGCGTTAAGGATAATGTTTACCATTGGAAAACGTGCTCAACTTGTTTCCATTGAGGTGCTTCCAATGACTGAAATAACAAAGTGTCAGGTCCGAGGGATCAGAGGTCTCCGCTCAACAATTAGTAGGCTATTGTAGATACTTGCAGATTCATGTGATGGTATTTGAAAAGCATTTTTCTGTACTAATATTATTCAGCCCCATTCGGACCATGCATGGTGCAATGTTGATCAAGATTTGAAGTAGCATATTAATGATTTATAAAACTAGCGGTTGGATCATGAGCAGACCAGCTTCAAGTGTGAATTCCCCAGGGGCAGGAGTGCATTGGGGCCAACTCAAAGCCTCAAGGGAATTTGCGTGCCATCCATTCCATCTCATTTAATAAGAATAGCTAGGTGTCTTGTGATGGAACTTCAAGTCCCTTGTCTGTTTAGCTCTGTTTTTCTTTCTGTCCACACGTCTTGTCTAATTTAATCTTATCGCAGTGAGACATATATCTGAAGGGTTAATTGGGCATTGACAGATAAGTGTTAACGAGGTGTGTAGAGGAATGTGAAATAGATAGCAATACAGTCTTTTCGAGGTCTTTAGACTGCCTACCGAGATAATAATGATCGTGTTTCATCAGTGCGATTTAGGCTAAGATTTATTACAGCCCAAGCAATATTAAGACTAGGCCTAAATCAGATTAGGCTATTTCTGTTGTTGTTATTGGTTGTATTTTTATTGTTATAGGTATGCAATACAATATGTATTGTTATATTTTATTGCCTACCTGTGGATGTCTTACTGTAGCCTATATTATTATTATTATTATTATTGTTGTTGTTGTTGTTGTTGTTGTTGTTATAGCCAACCGAATGGTAGGAATTTACCATATGAAAGTACACGTTGTGTGTTCCATGTGTAGGCCTATAACTAGTAAATAGGTTACAGTATCCTGCAGCATCCTTTGTATAACTGTATAAACTCTATTATCCTATTAATTCTAAACCAGACTTTTTTCTTTACACTATGCGTTGCAATCCACCGAAATAGTTGCATTTATAATTTCATGAATACCGTATAAAATTACCTGCCACTGAGGAGATTAAAGGTGACGAGCGATTTATCGATGACGGTCTCAGTAATTACCATGGCACATCATGTAATAATCTATTAGATCAGCAGCAATATTTTGATGTCCGTGTTGCCATGATTTGCCAATATATTAGGCTACATACTTGACTCAAATAGTGAGTCGCTAAATAATTATAGGCTTTTGCGGCATTCTAAACGGCATGACTAAAAATGAATTCAACTCTGCTCTCCATGCATGTCCTCGGTTTATGACAATGTCCCGCGCGCATGGTATAGTGTAAAGCCTAGCGGTGCTCTGCTTATTTGAAGTAGGCCTAAATGTATTTAAGGCGTGTATCATAGCTGACTAAAACAGTTTTAACCATGTCGAATGGTCCTGACCGCAACTCAACGCATCGCATCCTTCCTGATCCGTTAAACACGACTATCTGGTTTAGGGGCATGTGTGAGACCCACAGGATAGCTGACGGAATAACCCAATTTCAATATTTTCGTTTCTGTCTGTTCATCTCGCTAGTTACCCATGCGGAAATCCTTAATTTTATGCTCAAGATGGTGCAAAAAATTATTTATACTTCACGCACCAAATCTAGAATCAGGAGCAAAGGGACATGTACTTTTTTTTAGGCTAAGATAATGCATCCATTAAATGATCAACATTGGCACTAACCATACCTCTGTTGTAGTCATATACATTTTTGAAGATAGCCATGCATGGTTCTTATCATATGGCATGCTTGCTGCTATTTTGGCTGCATGGTGATATCATTCTGTGAAGTATTGAAGATATTCATTTAGATAATTAAGGCATATGTTTAGATCAGTATTTGCTAATTAACAGTTTTGAGTGCATCAGATAGCCTGATGATGTTTTTTTATTATAGGGCTATGCCTCGTTTTAATTGCACTGTGCAATCAATATGTACCGATACAAACATTATTTATGTTTGAACTGTGCATATATTTCGACAACAACTATGAAATCAAAAACGTTGCAAGCAGTGGACATCTGATGAGCCATTTGGTGAGTAGGCCTTCATTGAATGCTCTATTTAAAGGGTTAGTTGTGCCAAACAACACAGGGCACATTGGACTGGTCTTGGAGTAGTTTAATGTGCCCTTATGAGGATAAGACTCATGTGCCTTCCCCCTCTGTAGGTACTGTATCTATATCGTGCAGGAGGATGTACCAGACCCGGGATGCAGAGGATCATATGTCGTCTTCCCAGGCGTCTTCCATTCCCATAGAGGTGGGTTAATACACCCTCGACCATTATTTTATTGTATAAGTAGGCCTATACACGGTATTATAATGTGATCTTATATGGCAGACTAATGTGGCCCTCTCGGGGAATCTAAACAGTGCGCATGATGTTCCCGGGGTGGCTCATGCCATTCTTTTATGCCAAGAGGAAAGGGGTTAATGCACCCCTAGACCAGGGCCGGTTCCAGGCATAAGCGACATAAATTATTGCTTAGGGCTCCCGGCCGCTAGGGAGTTTAGGAACTCAGTCGGATCTCTACTATTGAGAGTAATAGTAGTAGAATACACAGGTGCAAATTCCACATTTGGTTGTGCATCAGCAGTTTTTCTCTTGTTATGTCAGTCACTGAGAGTCACTCAATTAGCCATGTCAGCTAACAATTTTTAGATTGGTAAGTTAGTCTAGCCAGCTATCTAAACTTGTAGTAATCATGGCCGAATACCAACCGGGCACGCAGGGCACGTGCCCTGGGGCCCTGACTTCCAGGGGGCCCCCCATTTGATTTTGGTAGTCATTCTCACTCAGATATCATATTAACATGGCATAAGTCATTACAAAATGGGTAGAATTGCAGGAAATGAACTTTAAAACATAACATTTTCTCTCCACCATCAAGAGGGGGGCCACTAAAATGTTTTGCTGCGAGGTGGGGGGCCTCCCAACCAAATCTGTCTTAGGGCCCCCAAAAGGCTACAGCCAGCCATATTCTAGACCATTCTGAATTTTAGAAGAGAAAATGCCTTCTATGTGTGTGTGTGTTCATGCTAGTCCCAGCGTGATATCATGTTGGTTATTCCACTGTATTTTAGATTGCATTGTCACCAGAGCAGCCTCATAGTTTAAACATTTCCTGCACGACATGACTATAGGCCAATATTGAGGTTGCCGAACTGGGCCAACGCAATACTTTTCTGTTCCCAACACCCATGTTTAGATTTTATTGTCGAACTATTTTCTCAAATATTTCAGTAAAATATCTATTACTGAATTTGATACATTGCAATGTGTAGTTGTTGTATACGGCAAAGCCATTGTAGAAAACTAGTAAAGGAATGTTTGCTTGGTTCTAGGATACATTTATTTTGAGAGAGAGGTCCAGCAGAATCACTATAGCGCCCTCCTACAGAGAAGACTGGGTATCTCAAGTGGTTCTCTGCACATTTTAACTCACCTTGACTTTTAAATATATGTTAAATACTTTAGCGGATTATGTGATATAATATTATATGAGACGGATCCCACTGCTTGATAGGTAGACAAGATACTTGAGACAGTTATAAACTGATAGGACAGTAGGACCGTTGTCTAGCCTGTAGCGGGAAATGTCAGCATAAATACAGTACTGAGAATTTGATTAGTCTGTTACATAAAAATCTATTGTCAGTTTCATATAGGCAGGGAACGGGATATAAATGATAAACGGGGAATGTCTGCATGGAAATCGTGCATGATATTGCTTTGAATCGTGTATAATATCATAATATATGTAAATAAAGGATATAGGCAAATATGATTAGAGGGAGTCAATCAGAGATAGGGGCTAACACAGCACAGTGTTTCGGATAATATTCCTCCAAATTCATGCATCATTTGGCAGGATGGCATGATTTACTTTATTCCAGTCAAGGGAGTAGCCTACTGGTCAAGCACAATCATTCCATATCAATATATTAATATTTTGAGAATATCGATGCGGCGCAAACACTATGGTATTAGAACAATACCAGCACCTACGCTCCGTATTTTACGCTTGCTGCCCCACCACAACAGAAAGCACTGAGCTAGGCTGAAACACCTGCATTTTAGAGCTGTTTTTATGCAGCTTTATTAAACTCAACTATTTGTTTGTTTGTTTACATTGTTTGCAAACTGATATGTGACACGTATTAATGCCAAAAAAACATACAAAACAGCTACAAATATGTCTGCTTATATGCCCCCTTTATTTATCCTACGGTTCTGACTTGGTGTACAGGGAGAATACTGTAAGAACGGCCCATGTTCTGAATTCTGTCGCTGTACATTTCAAAAGTGCTAAACAAATAGTTATATTGACTACTTCCGTCCTAGCTCGCTCATTAATGTCTTAATCGAAATTACGGATTGCCTCTTATCCGCTTGTCGTCCCCTTATGCCATAGTTTGTACATCTCAATTGTCAGTAGAAACCACATTTGTTTAAGCAAGTCAGCCAAATCAGCGATATATATTTTTTTAAAGGCAGTAAATGAGGCTGAATTAACTGTTTCGCTGCCAGACAAGGCTCCGCTGATAGCCAGGTGTAGCAGTGGTAAGATGTTGGGACTGCTGTTGGGACAGCTTTATGGAGGCCCTAACAGTTTGTGGGCACCGTTTGTCACCGTTATAGTGCAATGAATGTATTGTTTAGTGTTGTGTTGTGTAGTGTAGTGGCTTTGCTGGCAAGCATCCCAAAATTTTTTGTTTTCGTTTGCCCCACCAAGATTTACATGCTAAAATCGCCACTGAGTGTATGTGAATATAGCC